GACCTTTCCAGCTCCTCTGACTCACCCTCCTTGGCAGTCTCTCCTGGTTTTACTATCATGGTCCTGGGCACTTCTGGGCACTTCTGGGCACTGTGCCCTTCTGCTGAAATTATAGCCCCCAGGGACAGAGGGTGAAGAGTCCGGCCGCGGCAGCAAGACAGCATGAGTTCACCTGGCCTGCACCCAGGTCCTCCCATGACCAGTTGTGTGCCTCCTTCAGTGACATCTCTCCACCTGGCCCAAGGGAAGGAACTGGCCACCATTTCTCATTAGATTGCTCCTTTGTTTTTGAAAGCAGCAGGTGGCCATGGAATGAACTGTTCCTATTCCAGTAATATTCTCCTCCTGCTCCTTGCCTAGTAATTTTCTTTGCTAGGAAAGAAGAAAAGCAGGAGGCCCCTCCAAATCAAGTACGCTGTGCCTAACGAGGTTGAGCTCCCTGGATGATGTCACTTGGGGCAGAGATGCACGTCGAGTGGTCCATAAGGCCACAGCACACTGCTGGGACTTCCCTTGCAAACCTCATGAGTGTGTTTCTTTGTCTCTTTCTTAGTGACTTCATCCTCTGTCTCCATCTCAAAGACTTTGCATAACACAGCAGAGAAAGTCAAAGGTGCTGTCTGGGTTATTTATGAATCATGAGTGAAAGGTCAAGGTCCTTTTCACACATTTTCATGTTCTGAAGTCTCCATAGCAGTCAGTGCTTAGGACTCAAATGTCAGGCTCAGGTCATTGTCATACAGTGTCCAGCTACTGGGCCAGGGCGGAAGTGCCTTTCTCCTAGTGGCTCTCCCTGCTGCTATTTTACCTCTCTCCTGGGGAGCCAGCTGTGAGCCCCAAACCCAGGTATCCATTTCTAGAAATTGTACTGTCTCATTTGTCCCCATGGACTTGGAGACGAAGGGACCTGGGGCTCTGCATCCAGAATCCACGAGGAAGCCTGAGCCCCTGTTTATGCCCTCTTGGCCCCTGGCTGCCTGGGCTCTGCATGCTGGCCATCCAACAGCCACACTCTTACTCCTCAGGTCCTTGCCACCGGTCTCTTCACAATGTCCCTCCCCCTACTGGAATGGGATTGTCTCTCTTTTCCCAGTAAACACTTTTCATTCTGATTACAAGGAACAGAAACCCAGCAGAAGGGCTCAGACTGAGAGGGCTGCAGGCTCCCGAAACTGTTGGGCAGAGAGAACCAGGTGGGGCTGAGGCTCAGGAGAGACGGGCTGGGATGCACCTGCTTCTTGGAACCTCCCCCAGGCCCCTGTCCATTCTGCAGCCTCCTTCTCAGACAGGGCTCCTCCAGCCTCTGCAGGCATGTCCAGGCTCCAGGGACAGGATGGGGTGATAGCCCTGTGTCTCTGACTGGCATGTGGGAGTCATGGACTCCTTCAGATAAAGAGCATTTTCAGATCCAATTTAGAGACATTCATGTCAGTCAGAGAATCAGGCAGTTGTAATTACCAAAACCCTGCAGGCTGGAGGAATGAACGATGTCAAAATCATGGCTTCATCAGGTGAAATTAGCCAAAAGTGGAGAAATAAATAAAAATGAAGTGTGCGTTTATTTACTGCTAGAAGGAGACTGGCAGTTGAAGAACTCGTTTGCCATTCTTCAACTGGTTTATTATTAATCACAGGCGCCCTTGTTTGTGCAATGTTTTGTCATTCATGACGAGCTTTCTCACAAACCATGAAATTGTCACTCAGCCACCTGAGCAGGTGAGTTGTCCCCAAGTTGTTCTGGATCTGGTGACGGGACTCAGGCTGGTGCAGACAGATCTGTGTGGGGATCTTGTGCCAGACACACTATTGGAGCATAACCATAGGTCTGTAAGCCCAGGAGTCCTCTGTCTCCTCTGCTGTGACCTGGTGAAGGGCACCAGCAATGGTTTCCACCCTGGGTCTGTCACAGGAGGTGGTGATGCAGGTAGATCTTTCTGCATGGAGTTGGGCACAGGGTCCCTGCATGGTGCAGAACAGAAGGGGAGAAGCCCACAGGGCAATGGCTTTGGACAGCACCAAGGCACCACCTCACAGTTCGTAGGTCAGAAGTCTGAGCTGCGTCTCGCCAAGCTACGAGCAAGGCACTGCAGGACCGTGTTCTGGCTGCAGGCTCCAGAGGCTGCTTCCTTGATATCTGGGAGGTTAGTTTTCGTTTCTTCTATGGTGGAACCTGGGTTCTGCTTCCTCAAGTCAGCTGAGGGTTGTGGTCAGCTGCTGGAGGTAGCAGCACTCCCAGACCCCTGGTTCCTTTCTCCATCTTCAAACTTGGCCACAGCAATTCCAGTCTTCCTGCTTCAAATCTCTCCTGCCCTCTTGAGGGACATCTGACTCCTCTCCATCCCTCTTCATTGATAGAGCCCACCTCGATGATCCGGGATAATGCCCACACTTTCAGGCCCATGGATCAGGGACTTTAACTCCCTTTACCTTGTAATGTCACCTATTCCCAGGGATAATGCCAGGAAGGAAAACTGTGGTTCCAAACTCCCACCTGCCACAGGGACTGGTGTTTCCCATCTGCAAATCTGAGCCTCTGGAGACTGCTTCCTAGAGACATGATTTGTCAGGGTCTGAGTGGCTGAAGGGATACAAGAGCAGACCTGAAGCCAGGCTTGTCCATTGTGAGTCCTTCCCCAGGGCTTCCAGCTGTGATCTGGTGGAGTGGCTTGCTCTGCATGCCTCTCTCCCCAACAGAGAAATGGACATAATTGTCTCCCCCATAAGCCTCTTGTGAGGATGCACAATAAATGTCACCTGAAATTATTATTACATCTATTTGCACTGCCTTCTCTACCTGTTATGGAGAACCCATCTCTAGAACAGTTTGTGATCACCCCACATATAAGTGAGGGATAATGACATCCTCTTATTGTGGACAGACAGCATTTTATCTACGTCACCAGGAAGCATTACCACAGTGGACATTTCTGTGGAGATGATATTCCTGCTGTACAGATGAGGAAATTAAGTGAGGAGGGGAGAGTAGCTTGCTGCACCTCCCAGAGGTCCTAACCAGTGGAGGAGGGGAAGCCTCATCAGGATGGGGGACAGTGGAAACCCAGGGCTCACACAGCTGCCAGGGCTGCAGCTGCAAGTGGAGATGGGCTTGACAGCTCGAGTGTCGGTGGTGGGGTGGGAGGACTAAGAAATGTTGGAGTGAACCACTGAGAACCACCTCTGAGCCCCGGAATTTGGCAGACCAAGGACTGGCCCCTACCCCAGCCTAACAATCTGTTGTGGAATTGCTGGAAATGTTTTTGTAAAGTTCTCCAGTGAGATTCTAATGCACTATAAGCATTGAGGACCACTGGACTAAACTAGGAATTCCCTGAAGACCCAAAGAGTGTCCTCTGTCATGGTACCCCATACAGTATCCCAATTACATAACATGCAGCCGGTATTTGATCTATTAGAGCTGTGACTATTCCTGCTCCAGGCACCTGAATTCTGCTCTATACCCCACGTGGGGTCTGTAGTCTCCATGTCCAGTGTCTGGTCCTACCGTGTTCCCTGTGCTTTATGCTATTATGAAGTTCCACTATCACGAAGGACTAAATCAAACACCTGCGTGTCCATGAGGGCACCGCTGAGCTCCCCAGGAGGAAGGTGCTTCTTTCTCCGGCATGTTTTCCAAAACCCATCCAAACTCCATTTGCAACTGAGCTCATGGGAGAGCATGACCTCACCTACCTGCCTAGATCTCCCTGAAGGTGAGTAGAGTCCCAGCCAAGGTGACCTCAGCGCCCTAGAACCTAGAGGGCATCCAAGAGCACCATAGGTGCTAAATAAATGTATCATGAGAAAAGACTGGACCCAGGTAGAAACTGGTGACATGATGCTCTCACCTCAGGAAACCAGTCCTGCTGACCTCCACTAACTGCAAGGACGTGAGGAAGGACTGGGTGAAGTCTGAAGAAACAAATTTCAGAGAGATCAGGAGCTGGGGTCAGGGAGCTTCAGACACCTCCAGGGGAGTCCCCCCATGGACACACCCCTCGGGGAGCCCCCATTGGAGAGATTCAGCCCCAGGCCTCCTCCCCTGGCATCTCTTGGCTCTGTGTCCCCAGAAGAGCATCTGATTTGCCAGGCTTGGGTCCCAGGACTATGGCCAAGTTAGGGCAGGGCCCTTTGGCAAGGGCTCTCCTGAGTCTCCCTGAGGAATAAGTGAGGTGCTGATGGGAAGGAGGACGGAGCAGAAACTGGCCAGGCAAGACCAGGAACCTCCACATGACCCCCTGCTGCACGGCTTCAGTTCTTTTCCGTGGAGCAGAAAAAAGGACATGGGTCTGGAGAGGAATGGGTCTGGGCTGAGGGGTTCCATGATCATTCTTTTCTACAGATTCATGACGTGCCCTGCCCTGGGGATCATCTACAATGACCTTCCACCTTTCCCACTCTGTATGAGTAACACCCAGAAGTGCAGTGTGAAGCCTGCTTTTCCTCCCCACCACACACTGGGTTGTGATTGGGCTGCTGTGGCCTCCATCCCTTTATAACATTGTCATATTTTAATGGTACTTCTGATATATTTTAATGGTACTTCTGAAGAAAGCGCAGCCAGTTAATAAGCAATATTTGTTTACCTAGAATGTATGCATATGTTTTATTTGGATATATGGGTTACAGATCTGGAGGGGACTATTACACTGATAAATTTAGTGCTATCCTAAAGACAGTAGACTTTCTGCTACTAAGTAGGCGAATTGCCCCAGCTGGAGGTTCTAAGCACCCACTGGCTGGGTGATGTTGGGCAAGTTATGCCATCTACCTGGCTCTCCATTTCCCCATGTGTAATGTGAGAATGTAATGTCTTCTAACCCAAAGGATGATGGTGAAGGTTAGCTGGGTTAGTGAGTGGACACACAGTAGCAGTATCAGGCCTGTAGTAAATGCTGTGTTTGCTCTTATGTAGGATTTTTGCTATGATTTGGCTTCTATCAGAAGAGTTCTAAATCTTCTAGATAAAAGGGCCTGTGCTTAGTGTGTTATGGCTGCAGACCTGTTCTATCTAGACGAGGAGGACACGGTGGGCCTGATCCTGACTCTAACTGCTTTCTTCTTCCGTCCTGATGCTTTTATTTCCGATGTGGAGAAGCAGCATCTCTTTTTATTTTATGGCCTTGTTTTCTTTGGTTGGTGTCACACCATTAAATCAAATGTACATCCTGGCCTTTAGAAATTCAGCGCAGCCTGAACACTAATATCTCTGCAGGTGGATGAGGGCACGAGAAGTCACCAAGATGGCTTAAAATGAGATCCCCTTTCCACTCAGGAAGACAAATGGCAGGAGTCGATTGTCACCAGTCAACAGGACCATTAGCATTTCCCTTATTTAAGAAATGTCAGGCTCTTCCGGAGCTGCATTCCCACTGGCTGGCTGGGGACTTCCTATGTGACATCCTTGCAAGTTTTGCTCAGTTGTCTGGAACCATATCAGGGAGTGACCACTGAAAAAGTGCCACTGGACTGCAAAGCGCACAGCAGCTGGATTGGCTGACATGGTTCACTGGACAGTCGACAGCCCCTCGGCTGCTGCTCCCCAGTGTGTCCTCCTGAAATGACATTAGCACTTAAGTTCTTAGGTCCCCTGCCTTTTGCTAAAAGTCAACTTACTTAGGCTCAAATCTAAATGCAAACTACCTTAG